TGTTTTTTGTAGTTATCCACATTTTCTGTTTGGGGAGATACTGCTTTTCACTTTCAAGGGTGCCTCCCTGGTTGCTGGCTATAGGACTTGTTTGTATTTCTAACACTTATGAGTAAAACTAAGGACATCTGCATTTCGTCTTCTTGGAGTTTTGTTTTCATTTCTCTGAAGCAACCAGTAGTAGAACTGCTGAGTCACTAGGGTGTCTTTTAAAAAAATAAAACACTGAAAACATTGTGCTTAAGTTCAAATCACCTGGTTTCCACTTGGACATTTTAAAGAAAGAGATGACACCATGAGTCATAAAGAATCCCATGAAGGAATTAAAGATGTCCCATCTCAAAATACAGCAACGCATTTGATAATCTCAGGTTGAGCGATTATATAGTGAGGCACTACAACCACTTGGCCTGTCTCCAACAAGTGTCTGGAAAATGGCTGTGACCACTGGATACTACAATGAGCTGCAATGACCCTGAACAAACTCTATGAAGTGGCCCTTACTCCACTGGCTTCTACATCCCCACACCTTCCTACACCTCAATAAATCTCTAGAATAGACTATTCTTGCCCATGTAGCCACATATCCTGTCATTCCTCACAAATTTAATGTTCTTCGGAGTTCAGTCTTGTGAAGGTCCCCATGAGCACCTAAAATTCATTAAAAAAAAAATTTTTTTTCAAAATGCATGGCAGGGAAGGTATGGTAACAGGAACCACACACACACACACACACACACACACACACACACACACACACACACACACACACATTGTGTGTGCAGTCAGGAAGCACAGAGTGGATTGAAGTGGAACTGGTCTATAAAAACCCACAACCTGCCTGTCTCCAGTAACCCATTTTCTCCAGCAAGATTCTACCTCCTACAGGGTCCAGCTACCAGCTGGAGACCAAGTATCTGAACACATGAGCCTATGGGAATATTTGACATTCAAACCAAAGCAGAGGCCTTTCTCCCCTCTTACTCTCAGAAGAGGAAGGGCATGAGGATTTCCTACAGAAGGTAGAGCACCATGTTGGGATCTGCTGAAGGAGTGACTGGAAAGGAAATAAACAGGTTAGTTTGCAGATGGGCAGCCTCCATATCTCAAAAGATTGCCTGGGTGAGCCCAGGCGCATGAGTCAGGCTATTCCAATTTTCAAAAAACACTGCTCTGAAATTCAGCTGCTAGTTGCAGAAAAACAAGGCTAGTGTGCAGTGAAGAGTCTGGCAGAAATTAAGAGGCACATTAGCATGGCTTTTTGTGTTATACAGGTCATGTTTAGGCAGCCATGTTGAGACATCATGGGTGTACATTTCTAGAAGGTGTGCAAGGGAGAAAGCTCATGGAGCTGAGGCCTCAACCATAGACAAAAAATATAGGCAACTAAGAAATGCTGAGAGTGAGAAGTAGTGTTCTCCAGGGTAGAGCACACCAACTGCTTATCCAATATCAAATGGTCAGCTCTGAAAACATATAAATAACATACAGACTGAGCAGGTTGTAATGGTGTATTTAAAAACACACACACACACATGCAGACACACACACACTCCACCACCACCAACAACAACAATTAAAAAGAGACCATGAATTTGAAAGAGAACAAGGAGGTGAAGAGTGTATATGAGGATTTGGAGGAAAGAGAGGGAAGAGGGAAATGTAATTAAAATCTAAAAAAAAATTAAAAATTAATGTGCAAGAAGTCATCAGTACCACAACTAAGGAATTAAATAGGGATAAACTCCTTAGCATTCCAGCTGTGTTGTCTCATTTGATTATAATGGTAATCCATGACTAGCTAGATTAAATCAGCTCTATCCAAATAAATGCATATCAAATGTAACTAATATTTTATCCTGTCTTCCTTTCTACAGCTAACACTGCACTTCCCAGGGGAATTTTTGTGTTCATTATCAAAAACTGATTAAATAATTGGGGTAGGAGCTTTAAAAATGACTGCATGATTTTATATGTACATGCTAGACAAATAAATAATGGTTCCTCTAGGTGTCAAATTAAAAACAAACAAACAAACAAAAAACCCAAGAACCCTGAGTAAAATAATTAACCACTTCAGGGTTAATCAACAAATTATTCTATTTCAAAATTTCACAATTACCTAATATGCCCACCAATCATCTTAACCTCAGTCACTTACCACTCTAATAGGGGGTCAACCCCAATGTTACATACTTCTAAGTTTTTGTTTTTAATGTAATGTTTGTGAGAAAGTATTATTTATACAAATATGAATTTATAGAAAAATAAGGAAAATGTTCAAAGTATTTTATAAGGCATCTGGCCCATGTAAGCTAGTGTGTGTTTGCTCTGTGTTGAATTTTATAGTTAACAATGGAGACTAAGCTTGGAGGAGGTGGTTCGGGAGTGGGGCTGACCAGTTGCAGTTGGGCTGACAAATCAGTACATTGTCTACCACAGTGAAACAAACCAAACTAGAGGCCTCCCCTCTCCATGGCAGAAGCTCTGTGCTCAGAGCTCGCTTAGGGCTCATTCGGCTTCTATGGCCTTAGCACAGGAACCACAGCAGACTCTGCCTTATGAAAGTCTCATTCACTCTCCACACTTGACTGTTTCTTACATGTGTATTGCAGCCTGAGAAAGACTGAAGAGATGCTGCTATGGAAGGAAGTTCC